AGATGACCATTCTCGAGGGCAGGAGCTCCGGGGAGATAGCAAGGGTCCCTACCACAGCCAGCTTGGAGCACCTGCCTTCCGGCATCGGTTCCGGCAGAATCGAGGAATCTGATCAGTCTGCTCTTCCCATACGATCCCTAGTGACGCTGCGGTCCTCCATTTGTCGGTCGATTGTGGGGAACGGATCTCGCAGGAGGGCCGAGAGGAGGAGGAGGCTTGCGAGGTCTCTGAGGAGGGTCAGGCAGGGGCCTACTTCGTGTTGCCCGAAATCGTCCGACGAGACTGGCATCTGCCATCACATCCAGCGTGACTTGCTTTCGTTGCAGGCGCGGTAGGAGGGCGGGAAGCTGAGCTCGAGCGATTAGGCAACGCCCAGGCGAACAGGTTTATTCAAGTCCGTTGAAGTCCGGCTGGCTGGAATCACGTTTGTGCGAGTTGCGAAGGGTTGGTGGGTGTCATGCCATCACATCACATCACCTCGCACCCTGCACACTTGAGGCCTAATCCAGCTTCCGAATGAGCAAGGACTCTGTTTGTGTTTGCACTTCCCTGATTCTTTGGCCGGTTCGCAGTGATCCTTGGATTGTGATTTCGGTCCTGGCAGGACTCTGCCAGAATGGCAGACTGCACAGTTGGGTGGCTCAGTCGGCTGTGTTCTGCCAGGTTAAATTACTGAATCATGGGCCCAGAGAAGCCTGTAATTCGGGCAGCCTAGAATCATGCAGGTCTCTGGCAGCTACGGTATGACAATGCCATCCAAAGAGCCATATGCCGGCAGCCAAGGACACAGCCAGGTAGAACTTTTGAGTTGTCGACTGCGATGTCTGGCTCTGTTTCTGCTGGCCGCAGCCTGCGCAAAGAACTTGTTCTAGAGGCAGACATTGCATGTCCTTGGGCTTGCTTGTTCTGCGTCTCTGCGAATTGCATCCACGCTGGATGTAGCCTGGTAGTAACTTGGGGTCTCAAACTGTCATAATTAATAATTAATAATAATAATAACAGTAGTAATAATAATAGTAGTAATAATAATAATAGTAGTAATAATAATAATAATAGTAGTAGTAATAATAATAATAGTAGTAATAATAATAATCGTAGTAGTAATAATAGTAATAGTAGTAATAATAATAGTAGTAATAGTAATAGTAGTAATAATAATAATAATAACAGTAGTAATAATAATAGTAGTAATAATAATAATAGTAGTAATAATAATAACAATAATAGTAGTAGTAATAATAATAATAGTAGTAATAATAATAATCGTAGTAGTAATAATAGTAATAGTAGTAATAATAATAGTAGTAATAATAATAGTAGTAATAATAATAATAGTAGTAATAATAATAATAGTAGTAATAATAATAATAATAGTAGTAATAATAATAATAGTAGTAGTAATAATAATAGTAGTAATAATAATAATAGTAGTAATAATAATAATAGTAGTAGTAATAATAATGATAATAGTAGTAATAATAATAATAGTAGTAATAATAATAATAGTAATAATAATAATAATAATAACAAGAATGGTCTCTTGGAGGACCCGGGGCCGATGCTCAAAGCGAGGCCCAGAATGCGAAGTAGGCCTAGGCCTAGGCACATTCTGTGCGTCGCTACTGTCGCGGCTTCTGTCTGCTCGGTTTGTGCTCCGGGGTCTATCGGACTAGTAGCTAGATACTAATCCTGTTTTGCGGTGGTCCCAGGCCCAGCGACCTAATTCTTCACTACGGCGACAGGCTACACGAGTCTAGACAAGACTAAGACTAGGCCCGGCTCTGGCTTTGAGATCTGGATCAAAGCGATAGTTTGGAGGTGTTACTATCAAGACTTAAGACAACAGATCGCAACCCGGCTGCAGGCTTTCGAGGAGATCTACGAGCTGTTGGGCAAGTTGAGCCCCATGCCTGGACCTCATCGCTGAGTCGGGGCACGGGGTGTCCAGAGATGTTCATGTGGGCCATTAGGACGGCCTTTGTTTTCTGCGCTTAAAAGAAATGGAAGCGCAGGTCCCAGCTCCCGAGTCCTGTCCTCCCCAAACAACGCCATGTGCCTTCCAACTCTTCAGCCCCAGTCTACGCATATCCCTCCGGTGTGATCTCAAGGTGAGTTACAAAATTGCCCCCTGAGCCCAAGCCCTGAACCCTAATCGAACGTTGCACCTTGGTCGGTACTGTCACTTGAATACCTACCACTGTTGGTCGGGACTGTCGCCGGAGAGCCTGCAAACATTTCCAGCAGCGAAGGGCCTAGGTTTTTTGAATCTTGCCAATGCGCTTGAGAGACCACGGATCTGATGTTAGTATGGGGGATGAGGTGGTTAGGTTGTGAATCCCTTCTTTTGGCGGTCCCTACCCACTGCCTCAGCTGGTACGGCATTCCAGCTTCATGACGGTGCAGGAGGAAAAGAAGTGTCTAGGCCTGGAACCATCAACAAGCCCTAAACCTAAACCCCAAAGCCCTACCTAACACCCCTGAACCCAACAGCTTCCCTGCGCATCCGCTCGCGTCCAAGGCGCCGTGCCGAGGCGCTCCAGCGGGATCTCACTGAACCCGAGCGTCGGGGACTGGAGGTGGGCCGTTTCGGCAGGAAGGAGTGGTTCGGGGGAGGCTGAAGATAAGAGTTCGTTCGATGTTCGTCGCTATGTCACGGGATTTTTGTTGCTGTGAAAAAAATGTTCGCCCGTGACTGTATGACTGTATGGCCTCTGTTTTCAAGAGTCTTGACGTGGCAGTCCTGGATCCTGGCTGGGTCGCGGCCCTCGGGGCAGATTGAGGAGACCTGGCCACGGTTTGCATCTGTCTTGAGTCGATTGGTTCATGGCAAGCAAAAGATAAGGCAGCAATTCCAACATGTTACTGTAGGAGTCTCAGCATCCTCAACATCCTCAGCCGGATGGACGCCAGTTTGGTCCTTGCCATGCTGAACCAAGCCGGGGGTCCACCACCTTCTCCTCGAATGAAAGGCACGCCATGTTGTCGGTTTGCGTGCGGCTGCGGACGCATCGAGTGTGATGTCTCGATGCTGCTTCAACTCTTCAACTGAAGGAGCAGTGTGGGCAGCCTCATCCAGCGCTCGAGGGTATCAGGTGCAGCCAGTCACTGGTACGGTCCCTAGCGAGCGGAAAGCTGCGTAGAGGTGTGCCTGAATACACGACCTCAGTGCTCAATTCCTCCAATGTCCCCACTAAAAGGAAAACACAGCAACAAAGCATTGAAAGCTCACATTCCTGGCATGCGCGCACACAACCGATGCATTTTGTCCACTCTCGGCCCAGGTATTTTGCCAACATCTGCCTGCCTGGTTTGCACATTGTCTCCCGGATGCGGAGGGACTACCGCGCCGCACTGCGTGACGGTGAGGCTCTGGCGGACAGGGACACTTGCTTCCTAATGCCCGCAAGACTCTCCGAAAAACAGTCAGCTGGAAGCAGCAACATCGACAAATATCGACCCACAATTGGCCAAGACTTTCCTGGGAAGCGAAGGCGTGCAAATTGGTATACTACATGATTTCTCTTGCAACTCGCAGTGTCCCTGTGCTTGTGTCCTTTGCCGCGTTGTGACAGGTTCTGACTGGGGCGAAGAGGCCCTGCTGCCAAAGCTGAACGTCACTGTTCCCTCCCTGTGCCTGGACATATGTTCAGCAGTTCAGCATCTTCCTCAAGTACCTCGCCTTGCACACATCCAATGCCAGTTGCCGCCACTGCTGTTTCAGGCTACAGCGACGACGACGCTGACAAACACCACCAACACCACCGCCAAGACGACGAACGACAACTGCACGCTGCCTCCACCATCACCGCCGCCGCCACAAAAACTACCACCGCGACCAACAGCCTCAGCACCAAGCATCACCCAACCTCCGCCATGTTATTCAGATCTCGATCATGGTCGGCGTCGGCACGGTGGAAGAGAAAGCATCAACAGCTGTGCGCGCAGCTACGTACTGTTGCACCGACCTTGAGATTGCTTGGTGATCTAGCATAGTGCGACCTGTGGCCGCGGGTGCTTCTAGAATTCCGACTTCACAGTCGGACGTTGGCAGGTTCGTCAAGGGGGCTCTGAGCACAGGCCACTCCTTTGACGAGGCTGGTTCTGCTGACTCATGACAGGGAGTGATTGAACTCACCCATGCACTCTACCCAGACTTGGTTGGTTACCTGCCTCTAAATGCGCGACAGGCAATCCGCACGGCGCTGGCAAGCAGCTTGTCAGGCCGGATCGGCAAGCTTTCTTGCCCAAGCTTCCATGGCTCGCGAAGTTCCAAGCAAACACGACGGCTCTTGAAGCTTCCCCGGCCTTGAGGCCAATCTTCTTCCGCCGCCGAGGCTGGCAATTGTGGGAGCAGTCGGGCTGGGCAGGTCTCAGCAGAAGGTCCATGGCAAGCTGCAAAGGCCCTTGGCAAGGTTCTTAGAAAGCTTGCGGCAGGTGCAGCAGGCCTTCCGAAAATTTCCCTACTGCTGCTGTATTTCCTTGCAAAATTACGTTTGACAACTCTGCGTGTACACCGCTTGCTCACCTTTCGGACAGAGTTCCAGCCATGCCCATATGGACCATATACTGTCCCTTTGCCTCTTGGCCAGACGGGCGTAGCATCGAGAAAAACTCATGGCACCGAAAGATGACATCGGAAGTTTCCTTCTCACCTCCGGGTCCGTCCGTGCGGTGGGTCCGCGCGGTGCTCTGCTGCACGCCGCCAACTTTGTGAGCAGCTGCTTTTTGTACTCCGCTAGCTCTGAGATGCCCCAATGGTCCGGCAGGTCAGCAACTGCTCGAAGATGCAAGGACTGGTCTCCTGTGGGATCTCAGTCATACTGGGTGGGGCATGGGTCGTGATATCGAGCACGCAGGCTCCGCAAGCATGTGACAGATTTGTTTCTCTTTGCCAAGCCAGGCTCGAAGCGCCGACGGGCGCGTGCAGGGGGAGCCGGCAAGGAGCTGCGTCCTCGGATGCGGGGCGGAGCGGAGCAAGAGGAATGCAAACCTGAAGCACAAAAGACAGGAATCAGAGTTTTCGCAGGGAGGTTCGTTTGGCCAGTTCGCACACGTTTTGGTGAAAGCTTGGCGGGTTGCAGGTGAACTCCCTTCACTCCTACCCAGTCATAGCCGCCCTCCGGCTTCTCGGAATCCGGGCTGTGAGGCCGGAGGCCCTCTTTCTGCGCTTCTATGCCGCAGTGCAGCTGGGAGGAGGCGCGGCTGGAGGGTGTGGATGGTGCCTCGAGGCTTGCCTGGGGTGTTCCGGTCGGTCCTTTCCGAGGTCGAAGCGGTAGGTCAGAGTGAGAGCCATGGCATCCTCTTCGAAACCTTTGACAAAAAACCCTGCAGATTGACAGGATTTAACTCCCTCTTGCGCCGGGGGACTCGGCTCGGCTTGGACTCAGCTCGTCCATTTTGTTGGCGGGGTTTCGAATTCGATTTGTGCACCAAGCCACTAACTCTTCTGCCATACGTTGCAGGGCCTCCACATGTTGGCTGCGAATCGCTTCAGAATTAAAAACGAAACTCTCACACCGTCCGTCTTCAGTCTCCTCGCCACACTTCAACCTGCCAGATGCGATCTCATGGAATGGTGACTTGGACTCGGTCATCAAGTCCTGCCATGGGCAGTTGTCTGAATCCGGGCGTTTGGCGATCTTCATCACAAGAGCGAAATGAACCGCGGCTGCGACAACGAACGCAGACCTCTGATACATACACCCCCGCTCCCTTGGTCAGGACTGTACCCGGATTCCGAAGAACATTAAGATCTCAAAATCAGGAGGTTGATTAAGTTGGGTCTGCTATTACCTTGTTCCAAACAAGGCTCCCCGTGCTGCTGGGATCTGGATTCAGCCCTAGCTGCCAGGCAGGGATTCATGTCGTGCAGACAGCTGTTCAGGCTGGTTTGTTCTAGACATGTAGTCATGTGTGTATATATATATATGTGTATACACACATATGTGTATATGTATACTGCCACACGTATGTATGCATGCATGCTTGCATTCATGGATGGATGGATGGATGGATGGATGGATGGATGGATGGATGGATGGATGGATGGATGGATGGATGGATGGATGGATGGATGGATGGAGGAATGTACTTGGATGTACTTGTATGTGTTCGTATGTATTTGTATGTCGGTGTTTGAATATATGTATACTTATATATATATATATATGTGTGTTTATGTGTATGCGCTTGTGCGTGTGTCTGTGTATATGTGTATGTATACACATGTGTCTTTAGCGTACATGTATCTGCAGTTGTATATGTTATGTGTACATGTATTGGTGGATGCTTATGTATCTATGTATACATATTCTATGTATGTTTGTGCATATGTCAATGTATGTGTGTGTGTGTGTTCGTCGTTGTTCATGTGTCTGGTTCCTTATGTCGCCTTACATGTTTGTATGTGTGTATGTGAAGGTGTATGCTGTGGCTGTACGTACATAAACATGTAAACATGTATGGGCGCTGACGTTTGTATCTTTGCATATACCTGTACATACACATATATATATATATATAAATATATTCACATACGTGTTCGTATACTCATACATATACATATACATAAATGCACACCTACATATGCATATACGTATACATGAAGGTGTGTGTGTGTGTGGTTCGTGGGTTGTGTGTTTGTTTGTTTGTGTTCGTGTGTGTTTGGTTGTTTGTTTGTGGTGTGCGTATGTAAGTATGCACGGGTGTATGCATGTGTGCCTACATGTATGCAAATATGTGTGTGTGTGTATGTATATATATATATATGTATGCATGCATGCATGCATGCATGCATGTATATATGTATGTATGTACGTGTATGAGACAGTGTGTGTGTGTGTACGCATGTTGGCGTGTGTGCTCAGTCAACTGTTGGTTTGTTTGACTATACTGGATTTGCTTGGTTCTTTGCTTCTCGCGTTACATCGTGACAAGGCATGATGCCCCACTAACTCCCCTAATTTTGCAGCTTGACTTTGCTGGAATCAGCTTCAGGAGACGCCTCCTGATGGCTCTGGATTGCCAGGCACCAGCACTTAATGTGCCCAAATGCGCTGGAGTTGCACTAGAAGGTTACCGTATGGGTTCAGATGTGTTCGCAAGTGTTACCACGGTGGCATGACATGCTGTAGCGGACTGTCTGGGCTTGCTGTCATGTTCAACATTCCTGTTCGGACAGGGCCAGCCACCCCTTGCTGCACGACGCTTGCGGTCTCTGCCGCACCGCGTTTATGCGGACCTGGGGTGAAAACACGAACAGAATCAGCTTTAGAGAAGTCTGGAGAGGGAGAGGCAGATTTCCAGGATCTGACCGCATGGATTTGCATGAGGGCCGGCGGAGGGAGCCCGTTACGTGTTGTCGGAAGTAGTCGATTCCTGCAAGCCTCCCTCAACCTTCGAAGTTGTGATTGCCATGCCTGAGGCAATGATGGCATATCGTAGCATGATGACAGCGAGTTTTTGTTGTGGTCTTGACGAAGGACGATATGCCGTGTCGGAGTTCTACAACGCTTGCGGTTTTGAACTTCCCAATGTCAATACAAGGCTTTTTTGTTCAGTTGATCTTGGAACAACAGAATATGGCAACTGATAACGCGCCCTTGTTTGAGCACCACACGCATGACCCGCACAACCTAGCACCCAGTCCACCGCTGGAGGAAGTTCTGGAGCGCCTCCGCTTGGCGCACGAAGCGCTCTATATGGAGCAGGTCCCATTTGCCCATCAGATCCCATCAGCCCTACTGAGCTGTTTTATGTGCGCGCTTCTTCAGAGGATTCTGTCGCCGCAGCTGCGACCGCTGCCGCACGCAACTTCAAGCGTGTGTCGCAAGCGCTGCTGCAGTACAGGCCTGAAGGGCTCAAAGTCACTCAAGCAGGTGCAGCCGTTCCGAAGAGATCCTGCCAGAAGAAGGTTCCTCGTAGGCATTCCAGTCTTGAGCACAGTCCGCGCACCCAAAATCCCCCAACGGTCAAGAATGTGGTCGCCCGTTCGGCTTGGGGGGTGTGTGCTCAAACCATGATGTTCCGTCTCAGCCGAGATGTGCCATGTCAGTGTTCAACGTCGTGCTCGAGTCATACGGGTGCTTGTGTGCATGCAGTTTACAGATCTGCTAACAAGTTACTGATCTTCCGATGGCAATTAGGAGCAAGGTTTCGTGGCGTAGAAGTCCTGAAGTTCTCGCATCAAGGCGCGCGCAAGGGAAATGAGAAGATATATATATATATATGTATGTATATATTATTTTAATGTTTGTACAGACTCATCGGATGTTTGCTTTAGACCCTGAGCGCTGCACTTACAAAAAAATGGTGCCTCAAGGACCAGGATGAATAGAGTGTATTGTCACAGATTGTCACATCGCTGTCATATCCAATGCAAAGGAAAAACTGTGTACGGGACTTACCTCACCAGACGTATTCTTTCTGTTGCGACTGGCACACCTCGGAAACAACCAATTGGACCAATTGATTACCGGCCTCCTTTCCAGCCTGAAACCGGAAGCAGAAAACATTTCGCTTTCCGGTCCCTTGAAAAACTGAGCTGGCATGGGTGCCTCGGTGTTACGAAGCCCCAAATGCGAAACCCTGCCTTGCAGGGACGACCTCTGGCGAAGGGAGCTGCGCCGTGCACTCCGCCGCCGACGCACCGCACAGGCCAGGGCTTGATAGGCGGCGTGGATTCAACGTAAACTTTCGGTTCCGGGACCACGCTGCAGCTTCCGAGCTGTCTCAAGGGTTGAGTTTGTCGTTTCTTGGTTTGGGGCTTCGGCTTCCCCCTGCTACTTGAGAATCCACTTCACAAAACTCCTTTCCGAGCTACCAATCCTGGATCCTGACAAGAACTACAAATAATGGCAACGTGAGAGTATAGCTTCTGTTGCAACCTCATTCACTTCCATGTCAAAATGCTGTCATATGTAGTCAATGTATAGTCTATCCATATGGCAGATGAGCTTGAGCCAGCAGGGCAGGGAACGGTGGCACTACCCTGCATACTCTTTTTGTAATTAGTTACCGGGTATAGGTGTGCGCGTCTCTATGAAGTGGCCCATGAACTGGCATGATTCAACCATATTGCATCACACTCATATTGCCGTGCCTTTCTGTGGTGGTGTAACTTCGCGCGAGCATCTCTTAGGTCAGATGGGAGCCTTTCAAGCACATGTGGTGCGGCCGCAACACATACACAAAGTACTGGCCATGGCGTAGGCGTTGGGTATCAAATCGAGTTAAAACGAAGACTGCTGCTAAGGAAGAGTTGAATAGAATTCACAATCGCGACAGCAGCAGCAACTGCAACGATACTCATAACGTGCTGCCCCTTAGCTACCGAGTGGGTTTGTTCTTGGGCGGCTATGAGCCTGAAGTTGAAGCCCCTCGATTCTCAATTCGGTTCGTATGACAGTCATAATAGTATGTTCCATGCTTATGTATGTCATGGAACGGAAGTATGTAGGTATGCATGCGTGCATGCATGCAATAGCATGGAAGGGCAAAGAGCCTTTTCTGTTTGCCGCGCTGGAAGAAGGAATGGAACGGAATGTAAGCAATCTGTCTGTGTGTATGCATATGTGTGTGTTTGTGTCTGCATATCTATGTATCTACCTGTGTTTCATGTGTATTATGTATGTGTGTGTATGTACATACAGATATACATATATATATATATATGTACATATATAGGTGTGTATATATATATACACA